ATTTGTTTTTATACAAGTTGTTGCGTCTTTTAGAAGCATTGATACCCAACACCTTAATTTCGCGCCAAAATCGAACCGTTCTAGACATCTATCTAACCAACCCCATTCCACCCTATCAAATGCCCCATGCTGATCCAAAAATATGACTGACATTCTGTATTTTGTTTTTCGGAATATTCAAATATATCTTGGATAAGTCTGTTTACTTTACAATGTGAATGATATCCACTATACATGATTTAATTCTGTTTGCCAATATTTTAGTTATAATTTTATAGTCGACATTTAATAATGTTAAAGGTCTCCAATTACGGATTTCTTCTCTTTCTCCAATTTATAAAGCAAAGTAAAATGCCCTTAGTATAAGATTATATTAATTAGCTGATTGAAAAACCTCTAATAAAACCACTCGAAAATCGTCCTTAATGATATTAAAATATTGATAAAACTCGACAACTATCCCGTCCTCGTCTGGCGATTTGTTTTTCTTCATTTGATAGATACATTTGATAGATACATCTTCTTCAGATAAATTCCTTTTAATAATGTGTTTTTGATCTTTGGTTGATTTTATTTCAACATTTCCGAGCAAACTATTTGCGGCATCTCTGTCCCAAATTGCGGATGACAATCAATTTTCATAAAATTTCTTTTGCTCTAGTAATACCTATCAATTTCTTCTTTGAAGTTACCATCATTATCTTTAGTTCTATACCATAACTTGTCACCGAGTCTCTTCTTTTCTATATTAAAAAAGTAACGAGAAGAAGTTTCATGTTCTTCGAATTCTTGAATTCTAGAACGAATTACATAACCATTTGATTTTTGTCGGTAATATGTTTTTTATTTCCTTGGATAGTTTGTCGAGTTCACTGTCATTATCTTGCTTATCAGATTTGTTCAATTTCTGAAGTTTTTTTCCGCTTTTAATTTGATGTCGTTCTCTTTCCTATTAAGGCGTTTCGACACAAGAATAGTGAGTTATTTTATCTTAATTTTTACGATCTCCAACCAATCTCCAAGGCTTCCAAATTTATGTTTTTTCTGATTTCTGATTTCCAGAATTTCCAGAAAGTTTCAAACTTGCTTTTAAAAGTATTAGATTCTATAGTAGAAACGTTCAACTTTCAAATTCCAGGTTCCAGTTTGACTTTTCTTAATTTATGCTCTATAGAAACTAAATCATAATCGCTAAAAATACACGGAATAATTTTTTTTTAGATATAATTTCATTAAATACTTCTTGACTTGATAAAATATATCCAATTCTTAATTTTGATTTGCCTCTTTTGAAGGTAATTTTTTTTTTCGCGGGATATCGCACGCGTCATACATCTTTTAATTCAGACATATCAATACGTGTTTAAGCTGCTGAGTTGTCAAATCATCTTTACGCGACGACGGTATACGGTCATACAAATGTACATATTATCAAGCGTACAATTAAAGTCGCCAGTGTAAATATAATTAATATTGGTGTGAAATTATTATCATGCTCAAGCATACATTCTGTACCCAAACCAACTTTCTTGTCACTCACTTAAATCAGGTGACGTGGTCAAATGGTCAAATGGTAATGATGAAATTGATAGTTCGGTTGAAGTCACTCCAATATTCTTTAAATTCATGAACAAAATGTGATAAATTATCGATTCATTACCCGAACAAGAAATTGGCTTGAGTATAGAAAAAGAGTTTAAGTATGAGAACGGTTTCGTGAATACAGCCCAAGGACCTTCTAAACTTACATAAAAGTTACAACCTGAGAAGTACTGTACATCTCATTTCAAGCGTCAGTGGTTTGGTTGGTCCTAGTTTTTGCAGGCCAGCGACTTTATCAGTTTTATCATCAATGAGTAGTTTTCGGGTTGGGCATTGTTTCTCCAAATGTATAATTGCAGGCCTGAGTTCAAAACTTTTATTATGAATATTTCCTGGACACGTTATTTGGTGGTTTTGCCTCGGATGCTGGATATTTCTTTCAATTTCCTGGTTCAGTGACTTTTGCAGCATTTATTTTGTGTTTTAAGGTTCATATTGCAAAAACTTTTACACCATCTTCACTTAGACCATAGATGCTGCATCGGTATTGCATTTTAATACCTGCTTCGTATTGTGGAAATGATCTAAGAATGATATTTTGACATATCTAAATTGTCAACAACAACAAAATGAAACATTGCAACTTTCCAACTTTCCGCGAAAATATTGACTGCTGACGTGCAAACCTTCAGCACATGGTCGGAGAAAAGCAGGTAAGGGAAGGCTATGGACAATTGTTATAGTTTCAATCATCATCTTATTTGGAAATATTTCTAGTTTCTACTTGGATATGACGTTCGCTTTTGACTCATGCTCATTAGTGATACAGTTCTCGCTTTAAAAGCTTCCATTACCCGAATTTGACTGACTTGGGTTTAGAAGACGGAAGTCGTCGACAAAGAGGAACGCTTAACCTTCCGGAAGACCTTGTATTTTTTAATTAGACTTTAAGTTTTGATTTCATCAACAACCTTCGTGACGTAGTTAGAGGTCAGATTGAGGGAAGTCACATCCTCAAAATGAGAACCAAATTGTTGACAACGGAGCGACAAGGCACACTAAATACCGTCTCAATGCACACTTTGTAAGATGTATATTTATTCTAATGTGTATCACGAGTTATAAGTTATAAGCCACGTTATAATGTAGATAATTATTATTGATCGAAGACATGTCAGATAATTGTTAGAAAATGAATTAATAACATTTCCCCCAAATCAAAGGCATGCTTTTTATTGATATCAGTTTTTCAATGATTATTAATTGATAGTTGAAATAGAATGAATAGATAATAAGCAAAAAATCAATGATGAATATACAAACTTTTTTTTATTGCAAAGATGAGCTAAAAAAGCGTGCCAAGCATTAAACTGTATAGATATAAAAATATCAATATAAAATAAAACATAATTCATCAATAGAATAGATATTTCTTGAAATGATTAAATTTAACTGTTAATCACATGTTACCACAGAATCGTCGAATGATGTGCACTAATGCGTAGCTGTTATATGTGATAAACGACAAAGAGACAAGTTATCATACCTTCTGTGTTAAAATAGATAAGAAGTGTTGTAGGTTCACGTTGCATCCTAATGAAATATTAACAAAGATGTGATATAGTATGGTATTCTTAATCATTAATAAAAACAAAAAGGTATTGAAGTTTAGTATACAAGAATACATCATGCCGACATATATCTAATCATATCCCAAAAATGTTTGAACTGTTTCATAGATGACATGCATTTTATCAAACATTACTGTACATAGTTTCGAGGGAAACCATGGACAACTTTTACAATAATGTCAAAGCCACACTTATGTTAAACTCTTGCCATATAATGAATATTAAACGATGATTTATGTAATTAATCATTCACAAACGGATTGGCGAAACCATTCTGATATGAAGGTATCAACAAATCAACAATACTATGGCAACCAATTATAGACCAATTGTGAGAAAGTTGTTCTCCAATTAAAATACAATCATGTTTGATGCAACTTTAAATTGCTTTGTCTTCTATAAACGAAGATATTTTAATTACTGCTTTTGTTTCAAATTTAAAGTTACTCTCCTGCTAGTCATCGCTCTTTTTTTCTTATCAGCAGGATAACACTGGCATCCTTTATTCTTCTTGCATAGCAAACGTTATTATCGTTCCGTTAATACCACACTCATCACGGTTTGAAACGTGAAAAGATATAACAAAAAGTAATTAAATTTGGTTTTCTTAAGCGCCGTGAAGAACTTAAAGATTTTCATAATGTCACGCATACCCAAAAAGACCTCTTTAAAAGGACTATATTTCCTGTCAAATCTTGGCACGTTTTTTCTGCTTTTCACGGTCAGTTTTTGTTTATACTATTTCTTCAGTGAATCATAAAGTATTTTAGTATACCAGGTGACGTAATCGATCTTTATCAATTGAGATGAAAGCACGTGACTTGTATAAACATTACCTCTGACCCTGTTGAACACGTAGTATTGTGAAAATATTATCTCTGACCCAGTCGAACACATAGTCGCCCATCGTTTGATTATGCTCTCGTGACACCTCTTGAATTCTCCTATGCATGGTAATTATGTAAGCATGGTTCAACATTGCGGGCGGTGAGATAATAATAGTCGGAAAAAGGCTTCAAACGCTTATTGTTTACAGAAATTCAAGTCAATGTTGTTGTTTTTTTCTAAATCTTACTAATACACTTGTATAATATTTCTGAAATTATATCACTTCAATTGTAACTGCAGTTTTTTCCGGCAGATGGTGGTATGATAACTTTCATGTGTGAAAAACAGTTCCAGGTTAATCATGAACATCATACGAGGGAACATTAGGTTAGGCATTAAAAAACTTAGATACGATAAAGACAATAAGCTTGAAAGCAATAAATCAGAATTTGTTACATTAATTCTATAGCATTGCCATACATGTATAAATTACGAATGGAGGTTTTTCAAAATAAACGTACTATCCTCTTGTTAAAACATTTTAAAACAAATACCAAATACATGCCTCTATTATATACATACATTAACTACATAATCCAAGTAAGTGTAAACAATAACGATTCAAAGATGTTAAACGTGAAATAAAATATGAAATAATTATTTACATTCTGTATAAGCAAGTCACTAAAAGGGCAAATATATTTTATGTATTGTATTGATTTAGAGAATAATTTATATATTTTGCATACCATTTAACTGTAAAAATAAGCAAAATCACTGTTCAGGTGCATAAATACTATAAGCTTATAGGACAACATCAGGATCAAAGAACACCACAGCTAATCAAAATAATGATAGCATGTACAGCATACCGCGTGTAATGTCTGCGAATTCTTATCAGAGAAAACTCAACCAATTTCAACTTCGTTGATAAGAATACCAATAACCGTATGTACCTGCGATATGTATTTATCGATTGCTATTATTGAGCTTTGAAGACATGTTTATTTCTTAGAAATACATCCCGCGTTAATGTATCAGCTTTCATGTTTACTTAACTGAATGTATGCGGTGACTAAAAAGAAGTTTTTATTTTTTTAAGATTTATCATTGATAAACTTAAAAGATATATCAAATACTTACATAATTGTACACATCAATAGAGGATGTTAAATGGTTTTCCCTTGAATACCATATACATTTTACGAGTATGGCAGAATACCGACAGCAAACCATTCGTTTATTGTGCCATACGAGAAAAATACATTTGCAATTTAACGGGAAAACAAACAAATCTGTTTTTGTATTAGTAGAACGACGCAAATATTGCTAAAAAAAATGTGCTGAGTTATAAGCTTAAAATTTGTATATAAACCAATGATGTACAAAAACAACCACATAATATACTATCGCTTCATTTGCAGCTGAACAGAGAATCTTCTGCGATAAATGGAAAACACCATTTTGATTGGTCAAATAAAATAGATATTTTTACCAAACTGGTATTTTTTTACATAAAAATGTAATTAAAACACGTATCCAATTGATTTGTGTTTTCATCGAGGTAATCTATTGAAGCAAATAGACTTATTTCAATGTTTCCACAATCGAATTCATTTCTAAACAATGTTTAATAATGCATTTAATACCGCTGTCATGATTTCAAATCGACATCAGTTTACTTACGTTGACGTCACAAAACCTAGTCATAACGACAAATGAATAAATCCTTCATCAGGAAATGTTCTTAAAACTATGATTTTTTTTAATTAAAACAAGCGTGTAAAACTATTTTATATTATGCTATGTGCTAATGTTTGCTTTACGTACCTAATTTGAGTTAAAAAATACTAAACAGAACTACAAAGGTGTCAATGTGGTTTGCATTCTGTGAAAAAACGTTGTACCTGCAGCGGAAAACCCTTTTCTTGAGGAAATTATCAAAGACAACATAGTCAAATACCCGGACTATGAACAAAATAATGTCAATACTCTTTCAGTTTGGTGTACAGTTTTAAGTCACCATTATGAGAGATGTGTGCGATGTTTCCTTACCAAATGTTGCCAGTCGTCTGCATATAATCAAGATAAATGCGCATGCACCAGATGCTAGCCACATTCTGTTTATCCTCGTTTACGATTAAACTGGAATTATATTGGAGTTTTCTTAATTTGTCTAAAATTGACACGTTTCCATTGTTTGTTTTAAACCTTAAACATTCGCATACACCGTGCTCGCCTCCAGATGTTCCTTCACTAACGTATAGCAAAAGACGATCTGGTCCTGCAAAGATATAAAATAATAGTTGGAAATAAAAAACCACATCCTTATAGAACAGAGTGAAATTAACAGCAGGAATAACTTCGGCGCACCCATACACACCATCACCAAAGTTTGATATTGATAACGAACAAAATCATATTTAAATACAATTATTTCTGACGATGGGTATGAATCTCTTCATATAAGATGGTAGGTATTGAAGTCATGATTGCAGGCAGTATATTTACTTGTTAATACAAAATGTCATAGTATTGATTTCACTCTAAACAATAACTTACTGCATTACCTTGTTCGGGAAACACTGCGGTCTCCGAATCTGAAGCTGTCTGGCCGCCGCCATGATGTCTACGTCACCATCGACCTCCAAGCGTTCCATCACGTTACAAAGGCCACATAAGAGACCGCTCTCTGTAGCGCCATTACTGAAATGATATATAAACATAATGAAATTACTATCTGAAGTGATGGCACTCGATGATTGCAACAACGCATACAATGACAACGACAGACATGAAGCTATTTGAATACACGATAGTATATCTAGAACAAAGGATACAGTGCTTATAGGTGGCGTATCAGATGCTAATATCATACAAAACCCATAGCTCGAAGCAGAAATAAGTTCAAGTACTGCAATGATCATGCTCCTGGACACATGCCATTAAAGTACACAGAGAAAAGTATAAAAGAGATAGCTCTGACACACATGATTATTTATTATACAGTTACAAAATATAGGATAAATCTTGAATGCATTCGTTTGTGAAAAGAAAGAAAAAAGAGACAAATGTACAACATCGCCTACACACAAGGACAAAACAGGTGAAAGACACCTTGACCAACCTGCACAAATACATACAAAACTAAATACACTAAGGTTCTCCTCAAAATGTTGTTTGAACATAACCGAAGAAATAAAATTAACAAATTATCACCTGCATGTGATGATAACCGGGGATGCATCTATCCCCCGCCTAGACTGAATGACTTGTATTAGTTCCAACATAAAGCTGAAATTCGGCGATGAACTGCCCCACGAAGGTGTTTCTAAGAGGGAAATCTTTGTGTCGGTTCCGGTTTCCTGTTTTGCAGAAAAAGAGCGTTGTTTCAAGTAAATAATTGTATGATTATTTCCAGATGAGACATTAGCATGTAGCCCAATGAGAAAGTTTTATCGGGGTTTTGCATGATTACTTAAAATTAATAACATAAAAACATGAACAGTCATGCACTTTTTTTTTTCTATGATAATTTTGCAGATACACCTAAGTTTAGCATTCTTATTACAAGCAACATCAGTTAAGGTTCATCTTTTCATATTATATAGGATATGAGCTTACATCTGATTCCAGTACCTAAAACGGCAATGCTTACTTTGTTTACTATTGTCAGGTGTCGTTCTTCTACACGTTCGGGTCCAACAGAATGATGATCACAGTGAACATTTGTAACGATGAAGTCGCCGAACTTTGCCTGTGATCCATGCTTTGTAGGCCAACATGGATTATTCTTGAAGAAAACACATTTCATGTAAAATCCTTTGTCGCTGTACAGATGGATACATGTACAGATGGATATTTGATTGTATTCCAATATAATTTGCTTATGGATTCATACATATATTCTTTATATGAAATAAATATTATTTTTATTTACAGTAGCAACAATCTACGGAATATTCGTACGATGTAACAATGAATTAATTTACATAATTACGGATTCCACCTTTATAGTAAATGAGTTAAAACTTATTTTGACACCAAATAAACACATATAGATGGGTTTTTTTTTTGTTGCGGTACAGATCAATGTTTGACTGTGTTCTAATATAATTTGTACATACTGAATGTTTATTATCATATTCTTTATATGAAAATATTTTTGTTTCCATATACAGTAGCAACGATTATTCATGCAATGTATCAATAACATAATGTACATAATTCCGAATTACACCTTTATAGTAAATGAAATATAATAATATTGATATCAAATATATCACATACAGATATTTCTATCAATTTCTTTCAATCAATGCTACTTCGTACCTGTAGAAGACCAATAGACACCACTGTGTTCGATCGTTCTTGTGCTATCAAAGACAGAAAGTCAATGACGGTGTTGTCGAGAGGATGCTGGGTAAGTATGTATCCGTAAGGGATTCTATAACCCTGTTTTAACAGATCAATTATTAATTAGTCAGCTATTGTGTTATTATAGTTTTTCTAATTAAATATGGTGTAAGTTTTTCAATCAGAGCAAAATGATATTAACTCCAGATTCCTAATACTGTCGAGAAGAAATGCTCAATGTCTAAAGAATAGATGGTCAAATAATCAATAGATAATTTCTTTTCTGAAATGTTTTCTTTTACAAATATATTGTTCTTAACAAAGATAAAATTGCGTTGCTTCCACATTCTAGCCATATACAAATAATCGTTTTAATCAATATATACGACAGTGTGTATATGGTAATAACTCTGAAATAGTTGTGTTTATTTGACATTCTTAATAACAAACAGGACCCTTCAATAAATTAACACGAAGAAAACTTTTTAATGCGATTAAATGCAGGTCTTGACGTAGGACGTAGGACGAAAGAGGTAGAAAATGAAAACCTTACTGATTGTTCATCAAGAGGAACCTCAAAAGTTTCGATATACATATATGAGATAATCTGGTTTTAATTTGAAAGATTCGGAATGTAAGTGGCAATCTATTATTTGTTCTCTAATACATTTATCGCCCACTGCTTTAAACACAATAAATGAGGAACAGGTATACAGGCTAAATGGGTCGTGTCATTCCTACTTGTTTACTATTTCCCACATTTTATACGGATTTCAGTCACCTCTTGTTCTTTGATAGCAGTCTTAATGCTGACTAATTTTTCGATAAGCGTCACGCCAATCTGAAAATTAGTCAGCATTCGCTTTCAATGTTTGACTCAGAAGAAACCAAAATCCGTTCAAATTCTTCCTTCAGCCGAAAGAACAAAAAATGTGGGAATTCCTCGAAATAGGGGGGGGGGGGGGGGGGAAAACTTTTAAC